GAACAGGTTCAAGTTTGGCCTGTAAAGTGTCCCAATTCTATTCCCCATTTTCCAAATATTTCCTGTTCTGTCCTGCAAAAGTTTGGAATTATTTATGGTTTTTGAAATAAGTATCTTATGCTCACCAAGGCTGCATTTATTTGATCAAAAATACAGCAAAAACAGTAATATTGTGAAATATTTTTAAAAAGTTTTTATTTTCATATATTTTAATATGTAATTTATTCCCAGATTTTCAGCAGCCATTACTCCAGTCTTCAGCATCACATGATCCTTCAGAAATCATTCTAATATGCCGATTTGGTGCTCAATTATTATCATTTATGAATGCTCAGTTATTAATGGTTCTTGTTATTTTCAATGTTGAAAGGACTTTTTGCTGATTAATATTTTGTGGCTTTTTTTTAGGATTCTTTGATGAATATAAAGTTTAATGATCAGCATTTATTAAAAAATAGAAATATTTTCTAACATTATAAACATCTGTACTGTCACCTTTAATCAAATTGATGTCTTTGCGGAATAAAAGTAATATTTTTTTCTTCTTCTTCTTAAAAAAAAAAACCTAACTTGCCCCAAACATTTCAATGGTAGTGTATCACATTTTTTTTTTCTTATATTAATACAAATATTAAGCAACAAAAATTGTTTTCAGCATCAATAATAATAAAAAAAATGTATTGAGCACCAAATCAGCATATTAGAAGGATTTCCGAAGAATCATGTGACAATGACTACAAAAATGACTGTTGAAACTTCAGCTTTGCCATCATGGGAATAATTTAATGTTAAAATATATTCAAACTGAAAAGAGTTATTTTAAATTGTAATAATAGTTTACAATATTTTACTGTATTTTTGATCAAAGAAATGCAGCCTTGGTGAGCATAAGATACTTTTCATTAAAAACAATTACAACGTTTGTAGCGTATTAAAAAAGTGATAACACTTTTGTATAGGGACCAATTCTCACTATGAAGCAGTTGCTTATTAGCATGCCCATTATTAACATATTGGCTGTTTATTTGTACTAATAAAGCACACATTCTGCATGACCATATTCTACATCCCTAATCCTACCAAACCATACCTAAACTTAACAACTACCTTACTAACTATTAATAAGCGGCAAATTAGGACTTTATTAAGGCAAAAGTAGTAGTTAATGGTTTGTTAATTTTAAAATAAAGTGTGACCAAAAAAGTTTATTGTAGCTTATTGAGTGAGACATCAGAAGGCAGAGATGACTGCATTTTTTCATTGTTGATTGACTGTCCTCAAACTGTGTATTGAATTCCCTTCCAAGTTTCTCTATACGAAAATCGCAAACAGTATTTTCAGTACATGAGGTGTTGTGTAAACCAAAGCAGAGAGCGTGTGAAATGTTTCTGTGTATGTTGGTAACAGAAACCTGTCACAAACAGACTATTCGAGAGACTTATGCATGCACAAACATGATGTGACTGCGCTTAATGAAATGTGCTCTGTGATTTCTGATGCATTTTGGCTTGATGAGGAATGGTATAGTTGAGAAAGGCATAGCCTATAAGAGAAGATGAAGTGAACGACAGAATAAGGATGTACAGGAGAAAGACAAAAGGGGGACATCTAGGTTAAAAGGCATGCATGGCTGCCCTCCAAAAAGCCAATAGTGCCAGCTTGCCCAATTTCACCCCAGCTCATGATTCAGGATTATAAATATATAAATAATATATTTTCTTATTTTTTATTTTTATTAATATTAATATTATTGAGATCTTAAATTATATGGTTTATTTTGTTATTTTTCAAATGATTAATATTATTGAACGCTCAAACCACATGGCTGATTTTATTATTTTTATTATACAAATTATTAATACTCTGCGTTCCATGTTTGCCTCTTAAGCTCAAAACTGCAGGCGTGTATCTAAAAGAGGCAGTCGGGCGGAACTGATATGACTGTGCCATTTAGATTTAACACAAAGATTGTGACATGCATATTTCACCGTAATCAGTCAGAATCATGACCTGTTTTCTGTGATGATTATACAAAAATAATTATTATATTTAATAT